TGACCCTGAACTCATTTCAGGTAAACTCTAAATCTGGCTGAAAAAACACTGAGGGAGAAGATGGCAGGAAGAGGAAGGCACTTCACGTAGCATCACTTTGATGGCTCTTCAGTGCCTTAGGGCTCAGAATGGACAATGTTACTGTTTCTTCAAAGATTGTTACATTTTATCAGCTTGTTCTTTCCAAGGCATTTTCCAAATACTCGCTGACAATTTTCTTTTGCCTGAAATTGAATTTAAGAAACTTGAGCCAGCTTTAATACAATCCCTTCTCACTGTGGGTGGCTCAAAGGAGACCAATTCTGGCGCACACATGTTTTTGTGGGAAAGAACTCCAGATGGCTTGAGTTTCTAAACCCTCCTGGCATGCTGTATGTGCTATATGTCAGGATAGAAGAGAGCTCTTCTAAATCAGTCAGCCTAAGGTTGCTGGAATGCTTTTATGGACACACTGGTCCCACCCTGTCCAAAGTCACTGTGAGGGGTTTTCCCCCATTGATTAGAGCACACCATGTGAACTACTTCGAGGCCTGTGTAGGTTTAGGTTTTATTCAGCAGGTCAGGGATGGGAAAAGGCACAATTTCCCATCTTCAACCCCCACACAAGTCCCCTTGCAGCTGATCATGAGGTACAAATCAAACCCAGCTTGCCTGGGGCTAGACCACAGGAATATATGAGGCTTAGGAAGTGCTGCTATCCTACTGCGATATCCCAGTGAAAAGTGTTCCAGGGTCTGTTCCCTGTCACAGAAGTTTGCAATGTGGTCAGATATGTAAAGTAAACAACTATGTTGTGAAGAAAAATAAGTACTTAAAACTGCCAGAGCTGACAGACCTCTAGAAAACATGCCCTTGTAGGGTCAGTAACCCTTGGGCTGTGCTGTGAGTTCACTCTGCAATAGCTGCTTGACCAAGATCTCTGGTGAGCTGCAAAGGGGAGGAAAAGATGGACCTGGATCCATAACTTTAGAGTAGTGTTCCTCACCTCCTGCGAGGAACAAATGCAAACAGCTCCTTAGAGATGAGGCAATAAACTCTGAGGGGAGGTGTTCACCACCTGCAAACTTAAAAGGTGTGGAGGGAGGTGCCGAAGTGAAATGAGTCCAACACAACAAAGGCCCAGTTCTTCTGAGTAGTTAACAATTTGCTCTAGTTAAATGTAATCCACTGAGAGAGGAGAGAAACACAGGGATTATCAGCTTGGGTCACAGTGTTAATGAGGGAAATAAAATGAGAAGACATACTTTAAATTCCAGGGACACCATCAGCAAACTCCTTTCATCACTTTGAGATAGTGCAAGAAGTTCTTTATAATTAACTGAATTTATAATTAACCTGGAATTGAAGTGCTTCCCTTTTAATGTAGGGAAAGCTGAAATCAGGAAGCCCTCAGGGACAAAAACGCTGTAGGGACATGTGGTCATGCAACCCCAGCTGGTTTCCAGGGAGGACTGGACCTTCAGCCTTTCTACCTGCACAAAGTTCCCTCTGAGGCAGTGCTTTGGGAGGCCCTCTCAACCTCCTGCCACACTGGACTGTGGCTCCTGAGTCATCTTTGTCTTTCAAGAGCAGGTTAGAGGTTTTTTGGGAGTATGGCTCCATTCCCCCATGGTCTCCAGCCCAGCCCATGGATAGCACAGGGCTGGAAGCCACCATGGTGGTGAGAGCACTGCTTCAGCCAGCAGTGCAGAAGGGTCCAGAGCAACTGTGTGCACCCAGACTCTTCAGGGGGTCATGATTACTCGAGCAAAAGGCAGAAACTGCTCAGATGAGACAAACTAATGTGCTACAGGAGAAACAGAGAGAATCAGACACTTCAACAGCAGAAGCAGATTATTGCTTAAGTTAAAGTCCCCAGATATTCCAAGAGATAGAAAACAGCCTGTGTGTGTATATAGAAATATTGTGTATATATCTGTTATGCTGTAACAGCATAATATTTGGGTTGTAAGAGTAACCAGGGGCTATTGTTGAGAGCAGGATCCCATCCAGACAGTATTGACACAAATATTCCCTAAAGACAGCGTGGGAGAAAGATGCTGCCTTTACTCGATGAACTGAGAATGAACTTACAGAGACAAGAACAAATCTTCCCTAAAGAATATGAAAAGATAAACCCTTACTTAAAGCAAACTGTGAGCTTTCTCTCACACTAGGAAAGGGTGAGGAGTTTTCCTTGTCATCCTTTTGCCAGCATGATCCTTGGATTGGGGCAGTTCTTGTCCCTCCCTGGCCCTAAGTGATTCAGGGGCAATGGCTGCAGCAGCGGTGCCCTCCCAGGGGGGCACAGGTACAGTACTGCTGTGCTGGCCCTGGGGCCAGATGCCCTCTCCAGAGGAGTAGAAAGTTACTACTCACAGCAAGAAGTGGGGCCTCTCTCTCAGCTGCAGCAGTGAGGAACTCGGGACGTGCAGCATCAACAGCTACCAGTGTGTGTGGGTTCAGAGCAAGACAAGCCAGGCACAGGGCCTGAAGAGCCAGCAGGCCCCGTGTCACAGGGGGCAGAGGAGATATACCCTGGTCCCTGAGTTAGCCAGCAGCAAGGTGTGTTCTCAGACCTTCCCAAACCAGGGCCAAGCCATTGCTAATGACAGCAGTGATTAGCCAGGGATGAGAGTTGCCAATGGCTAGGTGAAGATTAAAAAGAGAACAACCAGCCTGCTGCATCCTTATGGTATTTACAGCTTTCTACAGCAAATCTGGGATGTTTCTAGGGAGCTACAAGAAAATCAGACTGGCCAGTTGTCTGCCTGCAGCCTGTGCAAATCAAGAGGTGGATGAAGTGTTTGGGCAGGACCCCATGTCCTCTAGCAAGCCCGCAAGGCAAAGCACTAGGAAAGCACTCTTAATTTTCCCCATAGGAGAAAATTCCTCTGGGCGTCACCTCTGGATGAGCAGAAGGTGACTCTTCTCTGCCTGCACCCTTTACAAACTCTCTGAAAGGGAAGGAGACCCACTGGCTCCCCCACTTTTCCCCCACTCAATCCCTGGGAAAAATGGAGGGCAGTTGGGCAACTCAGCATTGTAGCCTGAGAATAAACACTTTTCTGATTTCGCAGGGCGTCCAACCAGGAGTGCTTGAAATCTAAAGACCAAAGGGTTTGTTGCTAAACCAACCAGGCTGCCAGTGCAGAGCACTCCAGAAAAACAAACAGTGCAGTCTCCGTGTGTTATTAGAAAGGTATTTCCCTGTCTGAAGGGTCAGAGGAGGAGACCTCAGGCCAGAAAAGCAGCTCGCATAAAATGTGCATTTCTGAAGTGGCGTCAGAGTGGCCAAAGCTGTGGCACTGCACGGCCCCGGCGCTGAAAGGAGGAGAGAAGTCTCCAGGGATTTCACAGAGCTGAACAGAAAACAAATACACAAACCCAACCGACCAAACAGCATTTGCTCAACCCCTCACGAGTGGCAGTGACCCAGAGAACAACTGCACAGTAACTCAGGCATAGCAAGCAGGCATCCAAAGCCTGTCTGTAACATGTGATCCCAGCTAAAATTGCCAGAGATTGGGGCTAACTTAAGGTGGAATTAGTTGGGCTTCTCCCAGCTCTGTGTGGAGGAGGCCTGCTCTCTGTGGCATTTGCTACCTGCACCAACTCTGTTCCCAGTTAACTCCTGACTGCAGTATGGCTCTTGTGTATGTGTAGGACGACCAGAGAGTCAGTTGGATGCCAGAGCATTTGCAGGATTTTCCCTGCAGCACTTTCAGTCAGCATTTTGCCCTCTCTTACACATCCCAGTCACAGGGCTCCAATCCAGGGTGGTGACTTTCTAGTTCAAACACAGCTCAGCTTTGCTGAAATGCCACGGGAATGTTCTGAAATGGGTGTGGGGGATGTCTGGGACAAAGGATGGTGTCAGGAGTGAGGATGCTGTTCCTGTAACCATGAGCATGCTGCTCTAATGAAGTTCCAGCAGCCCCCCGCAGGGCACCATGTTTCCCACTGCTTCCTGGCCATAAATTCCTGCACTGTTTTGTGAGGTACCCTGTGCAGCCCTTCCAAAAGTTACCTGCAGACAGGTGTCTCACAGGCTGGTCATGACTCAGCCAACAAGTAGCACACTGCATTTATCCAGCAGCTCTGACTGCGGGTTTACAGGTGGGATTGTGAAGCTGCATGTCAGTAGTGTCACTGCAGGTATGAGGGAAACTGAGGCACGGAGGGCTGAGGACACTGCTAAAGCCACTGCATGGTACAAGCTGATCCAGTGACACAGGTCCCCAAAGCACTGCAGCTGCTCCCACCTTCACCGCCCTGCCCTGCCCTCGGGGCAGTCATGCTGGGTGCTTTTAAGGGATTTAGGAAAGGGGAATAGCAGGCATTAGGGACTGGCTGGGAGAGCAGGCTCCTCTCCTGTCCTCTCAGCTGCACACTGGCCTGTCCTGCCTCTTCCTCAGCTAACAAAGCATTTCTCTTTTCCCTCTGGAGCCTTTTGCAACTGGAATGGAACCAGCGAGATCAGGCTACTTTTCAAAAGATGCAGCCTGAATTCTCACATCTGCTAGAGCCCCACACCACCAACCTGAACTGTCAGGCACTTTTTAAATACCGACATGGAGTATACCAAACCCTTGAGTTTCATTTAACTGCAGGCAGTGATGATTTGTACCCAGGGGCTCCCGTCAGTCCAGGCCTTGCAGGCACGAGGCTGGGCTGGGAGAACACGTAGGAACCCACAGAGGCGCTCACTCTGCAGCAGCAACACGAGGACTCCAATCCTGATTTTAGACAGAGATCGCTTAACAAAAGCACCTCGCTGCTATCACAGAGCCGCACTCCGGCTCCTGGGAAAGGAGCCAAGAGACACTGCATAGCAGCTAGGAGAGCTTACAGCAAGGATTTCCAGGATCACGCAGAAGCAAACAACCACTTAGCTCTTAAAATCATACACTTTCTGCCTGCAAAGGGCAGTATCGCTACAGATCTCCCGCTGTCCCCTTTAAATGGCTGGGAAGCTCCATCCCCGAACAGCTGCAATCGATCACCACCTCCGCCCCCCCCCCCTCCAATCATGTGATAGTCCTGCCCGAGGGATTTAAGCTGCTGGAGCTGCGCGCTGCGTTACTCCGGCTTGTGGAGAAGGGGCTCGGGGGTGTCCTGCCTGGTGGGGCTGGTGTCTGCAGCATGGAGCAAGTGAGTGCCTTTTTTGGCTGGTGTGACAAGCAGGACTAGGGCTGGGCTGTGTATGGGCTTTGGGCCTGGTGCCAGAGGTAGGAGGAGAAAAGAATAAGCTGAGAGGAAGTGCGAGGCTGATACAGGGCTGTGGGAGGAACAGGGCTGACCAGCCGGTTTTCCTCTCCTCCTCGAGCATGTTATAAGTGGGAAAGCTGAGGAATGTTTATATGCTCAAGTAGTCTAAAGGTTTGGGTCTATTTGTAACTCTACAGTTTGAATACTCTTTATACTTTTCTTTTTTTTTTTCCCCTTAAACTTGGTATTTTCCTTCTGGCAAAATGCCTTTTGGGTACAGGGCTGGGTTAACTCCTATTGTAACAGGAGAGGAAAGCAGGCTGGCAGTGTATTCTAACCCAGCCCTGCCCCCCCAGCTTTACTTTCCTCAAAAGACCCCCTGGGCGCTGAGTTCCAGCGCTGCACTAGAAGCAGAGCCAGAAGGCAGAGTTAGTGCCGTGGAGATAAGTGGTTTAGTGACTGGGGGGGGAACCTGACCTCGGCAGTCTGAGTGTGGGCAGAGCAGGGAGCAGGCAGGAGGGCAACGACAGCTGGGGCTGGGTGGCAGTGCCCAAGTCAACTAGTTTGCAATTGGCTTCCCTACCTGAGCTGATGTGGTTAAGTGGAACTCGGTAACGTTGCTTCTGCAGCAGCTGGTGAAGCAGTGCCTGTACCCTGCTCCTGAATCCCTTCCTGCATTGGGTTTGCATGGCCATGCTTGGGGAGTGGGGGTGCTGTAGGGGTGGCTTCTGTGAGCAGCTGCCAGAAGCTTCCCCCACGTCCGGCAGAGCCAATGCCAGCTGGCTGCAGGAGGGACCTGCTGCTGGCCAAGGCCCAGCCCTCCAGAGGTGGCAGTGATGCCTCCATGATAACAAGCCTAAGGAACAAAAGCTATGGCGCAGAAGGAATTGCACTCTGAGAAGAGAGGAGTGAGAATATGTGAGAGGAGCAGCCCTGCAGACACTTAGGTGAGTGAAGAAGGAAGGGGAGAGGTGCTCCAGGAGCCAGAGCTGAGGTTCCTTTGCAGTCTGCAGTGAAGACCATGGTAAAGCAGCTGTGCCTTGCAGCCCATGGAGGGCTGTGGGGGGCAGAGATCCACGAGGAGACCAAGCTGGAGCAGGTGGATGCCTGAAAGAAGGCTTTGAACCTGTGGAATGGACCCACAATGGAGCAGTTTGTGAAGAACTGTAGCCTATGGGAAGGACTCTTGTTGGAAAAGCTCATGGAGAGCTGTTGCCTGTGGGAAGGACTCCATGCTGGACCAGGGGAAGGACTTATCTCCCTGAGCAGTGACAGAAAACAAACTGTGGTGAACTGACTGTAATCCCCATTCCCTGTCTCCCTGTGCCTCTGGTGGGGAGAGGAGGTAGAGCTTGGGAAGGAGGGAAGGGTGGGGGGGATGTGTTCTTAAGGTTTGTTTTACCTGTCATTATCCTGCTCTGATAATAATAAATTCAATTAATTTATGCAAGTCGAGTCTGTTTTGCCTCTGACAGTAATCCATGAGTGACCTCTCCCTGTCCTTATCTCAACTCATGAAGCTTTTGTTGTGGAGGGGCATGATGGAACAGCTTTGGTGGGCACCTGGCATGTAGCCAGGGTCAAGCCACCAGGCTCTGTGTCACCTTAGAGGAGTGGGAGATCCCTGTGGCAGCTGGGCCTGACTCAGCCCTTCCTCTAGCACAGATCTGGTGTCTGGGTCTGCCAGAGCTGCTTTGTGCCCTGGCCCAAGCAGGACTGGAAGCCTTGCCCTGGGACAGACTAACCCCTGTGGTTTGGCCCTGCAGGGACTGGTCATTACTCAGCTGGACATCGAGCCTGGTGAGTGCATCAAGGTCAAAGGGAAGATCAAGTCTGATGCCAAAGGGTGAGTGAGGAGGATCATGGTGAATGAATTGATGTGGCACTGGGGTGTGAACAGAGCTCCTGCTGTGTTCAGCTTGCCAGCACTGGGTAGCTGGAGCTGCTTCACAGGCACCTCTTTGGCACTGACTGTTTCCCCAGGTTTGCTGTGAACGTTGGGAAGGACAGCAACACCCTCATGCTGCATTTCAACCCTCGCTTTGACTGTCATGGGGACATCAACACCATCGTGTGCAATTCCAAGGAGGATGGCACGTGGGGTGAGGAGGACAGGAAGGCTGACTTTCCCTTCCAGCATGGTGACAAGATTGAGGTGAGGCCTGAGGGTGCACAAGGCCCTGGTACTGAGCACTGAAGGGCCAAGAGCACAGCTCTTGAATGCTGCCTGTGCCTCTGTGGAGCAGAAGGAGCAGGCATGGAAAGGGAATAAGCAGCAGGGGGAGAGTCTTGCAGTGAAAGCCAATGAGCTGTCAAGCCAATGCCCCACAGCTCAGATGTGTTAAGTGCCCCACTCTGGCCTTCCTTTGCAAGCCACACAACTCTGAGCAGCTAAAACACTGCCCTGAGACTCAGGCTGGGTCTGTCTTATCCTGGAGCTGCAGAAACTTGGAGCTGACCTCGGGGCAGAGCAGACCCCCTTCCTGCCCTCCATGCCTCTGCTGGGCAGGGAGGAGGCTGAGCTGATGAGCATGGCCTTGCACCAGCAGCCACCTCGCCTGTCCCACACCCAGACTGGAGTAGTGGGGAGTGAGGGAGGCCTGGGAGCTGGGATGTGTTAACCTTTCTCCTTGTGGCTCTCTACAGATGTGCATCTCCTTCGATCAAACTGAGGCCACGGTGAAGCTGCCTGAGGCGGAGTTCAAGTTCCCTAATCGGCTGGGCATGGAGAAAATTCAATACCTGGCTGTGGAGGGTGACTTCAAAGTCAAAGCCATTAAGTTCAGCTAACAGTTGAAGCTTGGTTTGTTTTGTTTTCTGCCCCACGCGTAGTGAAATAAACCCGAACTTGCAATGGCTGCTTCCTCTGCTGTTTCCTGCTCTAATCTGCTTGCTCCTGTGTGTGCTACAGGGGTGGGCAAGGAGGGGATATGTATCCAACCACGTGCCTCCTTACATTGTGGATTTGCAGGTGGTACTGATTTAGACACAAGCCAGGCAAAGCATGACTGACTGTGAGTAAAGCTGCCTTAGCAGTAGTTGCTCCCTTCACCTTGTTGGCTGCAGTAAGTGGTCCCTGTCTGGTTTCTAAAATCTGGGATTAGTCCAGCCAGGGAGGCTTAAACAGGGGTATGTGGGGTGTTCATTGTGCTATCTCTGACCAAGAAAAGCTGCTCCCATCTCCTTGCTGGGGATGAGGGACTGACAGGGAACACGAGGCATGGCTTGTGCTCTTGCCAATAGCTTTGCTTTCCAAGACCATGCTCAGCACTCGGGTGCACTGCAGGCTGGCACAAGCACACCTGAGCAGCAGAAAAGAGTGGGCGGGTCAGGCTGACTGCACTTGCCAGGAAACAGATGTGGAGTGAAAGGTGAAGCCTGACAGAAAGCTTAGGTGTGAGGTCGTGAGAGGATCAGGCTGTCTGTGCTGCCTCATGAACTGAGGTCTTCACACAGAGACCCGGTATCAGGTACCATAAAGTCAGGGGCTGAGCAACATACCCGGTATGGGTGACAGGCCATGTGGCAGCCTGTGGGACAGTGTCTGTAATGCTGGACTGCTACACCCCAGGTGCAGCTTAAGGGCTGTACTGAACTAGGTTACCACAGGTATTAAATCCTGAGTGCACCAAACAAATAACTGCAGTTAGGCAGATGAACAAAAAAGCTTAGTGAACAGTCTCTTGTGCTTACAAGCTTTCTGCTCATGCAATGCCTTGGAGTGTGTCTGCTACTGCTCCTTCCCAGCATCCTGCTAACCATGCTGACCCAGGAGAGAGCTGGAGCTGGGACTGATGTGGCATTTGAGGACCTGGTGGAAGGTAAAGTCCTGTGTGCTGTGGGGAACTGGGAGCCTGGACAGGCTGCCCAGGTTTGGGGGCTGGCTCTGTGACTGACAGTGCTGCCCTGGTGCAGCTCAGTCACAATGGCCTGCACAGCTGAGACCTTCCTTAGCCAAATGCTGCTCCACTGCTGGAATGTGATCCCTGTTGGCTAATCCATCAGCAGGGCTGCATTTGCTGCTCCTTCAACAGCTGAGCAGTTGGGCCAGCTGCTTGGATGGGGGCAATACAACACTGCCAAGGATTTGAGCCATTCCAGGCTTTTTGTGGAAAGACTGAGAGGCTGCAAGGCTGTTGCACTCATGTCAGCAACACTGTCCTGACCTGTACTGCAGCAGCTGCCCAGAGCTGGGCACCCCCATGGGAGATGGCAGGAGCCTGGCCATGCTGCAGGACAGGCATGGATAATGGTGTTTTTAATTCCTGTCTTGCATCTACTGCATTATTTATGGGATAGGAGGTTAGTTTTTAGAGGCTGGGATGTCCTTACTAGGAAAAGGATGAAGGAGGTCTTGCTGATGATTTGCCTTGTCCAGTAAGACCTGAGATTGTTTTATTTTGCAGGGTGTTTGGGGTGGGGAGCTGGGGAAAAGAGGATAGTTTCTGTCATTTCCCCCTCTGTCACATTATCTGGCTGCAGGTAGCTAAGTGCAGTGTACAGCACTGAAAAGGTACGAGGCCCTTATGTAGCTGAGGCACAGAGGAGCTTACAGCTGGTCTCTGTGTGTGCCTGCCCCTGCCTGCCCTGGTCAGGTGAGGTCTGTGTCTCAGAACTGACAAGAATAAAGCTAATCTTGTTTTTTTGCCCTTAAGCTGGCAGTCCTGGTTGCCAGGTAGGCTGGCCCCAAGTGTTCCTGACTGCTGTGCTCAGGGTACAAACAGTGCCCTCAAGGGGGCTACCCCCCTCCTGGACTTTCCACAAGAATTAATTAGGCCTATCCTGCTTTTTAGCGCTGGCAGTTACCACTAAGGAGACCACAAAACAGGAGAAAGGGAAGGAAGGAAGCATCCCTTTGCCAGCACTTCCTGCTGCTTGAGTTTTGTTCTCCTGTGTCCCAGAGCTATAAATAATCCTGTTCCTCTAAGTGACACTGGGAAATGTAGAGCGCCCTGGCTGGCTCCTGGAGTGGTGACAAGACTTTCTCTCCTGCTGGAGCGATTCGGAAAGCCAGAACAGTGTACCCTGCTGCAGGCAGAGTGAGGGACACAGTGAATGGGAAAGCAGGGAGCTGGAAGAACCACAGCATGGCCTAAGGATGCAGATTTTGGTGTTTTGCCTTTTTTTTTTTTTTTTTTTTTAATTTAAATCCTGCATAGTGTGCAGTCACCACTGTATTTCCTTACAGCATCACAGCAAGGGAAATCGGACCTCGAGACCTCCTGAGAAGCAGCTGTGAGGCTTTGTATTATAACATGGAGATTTAGTTGGGCATGAGGAAAAATGTCTGCAGTGGAGCAGCTGCCCAGGGAAGTGGTGGAGCCACCATGCCTGCAGGTATTTCAAAGAAGTGGAGGGACACTTGGGGACACGGTGGATTTAGTAGTGTTAGGTTAACTGTTGCACTTGATGTGAAGGGTCTTTTCTAATCTAAATGATTCTATCAATACAGATTAATTGATCTATGTTTTCACCTCACACTTAAGGAGAAGAGAATAAATAATGAACTGTTTTAAAAAAAAAAAAAAAGGTGAGTTTGGAAATGGTAGATAGGACAGGAGTTGAAATTTCATGCCGAACCTAGAAGAGCAGTGAGGGCTAAGACAGACCAGCAGCTTTGTCTTCCCAAAAAATAACTTCTCCCTGAGCGGTTCACATTAACTTCACTTGACAGAAATAGGCCATTTGAGTGACTCTGTGGCTACACGAGCCTGCATGTGACACTGATTGTCAAAGCCTCAAAAGACAGAGGGAGGACACTGCACCCAGAAATGGTGTGTGGACTAAGTGTGTGCTGGGGAAGCTGAGGGGCAGTCCAGGTTGAGGTGGGGCGTGGGAAACTAGCAAGGTCACTTCCCACAGAATTTACAAACAAAGTAGTGCATGACAATTTCCTCCAAACAAAACAAATACGAAATTAACTGACATTCACTGTACAAAGCGACAAGGTGACCAGGTCTGCAAGAGGTGACAGTTGTGTTCTTCCCTTGTCTTCTCCCCTCCTGCTCCCTCAGACCCAGTTTCAACATTTAGTAACCAAAAGCAACTTCATCACTCATTTTCAGAAAGTCAGCCTCAAACTTTACACTGCATTACCTCATAACTGCCCCATTTTGGGGCAGCTTATAGGAAATGGTAAGCACAGAGTTCCCCTTTCCTGTAGTGTGATGGAGGTCTGGGCAGCACAAAACTGGATGCTGCTGGAGTGGGATATCCTTGGGATCAGATAAGTACAAACTCTGTACCTATCCTGTCTGCTCCTCTGGACAGGAGCCAAGGGATGAGGGCAAGTTCTGCCACACTGAGACCCCCTCACATCCCCACATGCCAGGGCCCTCCCTCCCCTTGGACACCCCTGTGGAAACCCAACACCCAAAGCACCTACTTAGCAACAATTTTGCTGTTTTCCCCCTTCAACCCTGACCCAGCTGCTCCATAGCAGGTCATGCTGTCCCATGAGGGAGAAAAAATACATAAAAATACAAATTTACTCACCTTTTCTCTACAGAATCAGGCTGCGGTGTGCGTCCTCCTGCAGCACCTCAGGTGTGGGCTCCCCTCAGGCTGCCCTCCCCCCCAGGCACTGCTGTCCCTTGTTAACCCTGATTACCCCCAGGTGTTAGCCATAAAAACACCTGGAGGGGTGGGCAGGGAGCCCTGTGGCAACTTTTGGAGGTTTGGGAGGGTTTCTGAGGTGTTGGTGAGGGCTGGGTGCTGGGGGTGTCCTGGAGCCCCCTGCTACGCAGGGCTCCCCTCACAGCCCCCTAAGATGGCGGCGGGGGGGCTCGAGGTGCCCCCACCCTTCGTGAGGTAAAATGGTGCCAAGAAACCATCAGGGAGGGCCACGAGAAGCTTCTGCGCAGAGCCCCTTTCCTACCCCAAAACCACCCCCCACAGGAAGACCTTCTCGTCTTCCAATTTCATCCTCTCCAAACTGCCCTGGATACCTTTTATTAATCACAATTTTATTTTACCTCAGCAGAATCGCAACAATCTGTGCAAAAGCAGGTCCCTCATAAGCAGCTTCCTCAGTATTTGGTCATTCTTTCGCCAGCTCTTGCCTTCCTCAGCTGAATTATGTGATTGCCTTTTGTTTCTTGTTTGTTTTTTTCTTTTGCATTTCAGTCCTCAAAATTAACTTAGTGCTGAAACAAATGAGAATTAAAAAAGTTACGGATGGCTTTTCTCATTTTGTTTTAAGCCTCTTTAGCAGAAGGGCATGGCCTTAGGCTGCAAACCATAGAGGAAAATGCTTCCTGTTCACATGTACCCTATTTTCTCTTTGATGTAGGGGAAAACGAGCCCTTTTTCCTAATGCCAAAGCCCAAACCAGGCAGAGCTGTGCTGCCGTCCCCCTCAAGCCCCTCTGAGGGTGCTGAGCCTGGCTGGCTCTGTCTCACCGACATCTTGAAACATGTACCAAGAAAGCAGATTTTTGCAAGGATTTTTGGCACTGAAGCACACCAAGCGGCACAAGAGCTGGCCACAAACACATTTAGTTGTGCAATACAAAGGATGATTGTTTAGCAACACATTGCTAGAAAAACCCTGTAAGGCACCAGAGGTGTATGACACTTAGTCTGTGTGCAGAGGCACGAGCAGCAGTTCTGCGGGAACGCAGCCAAACCATAAAGTTGTGCCATGGTCAGCACACATCCCCTCTGCAGGGATAGAAAGGAATAAACAGCTCTTATGTAAACATTGGTTTGGTTGAATAAGGCATGGAGAAACCTGGGATGGGGTCTCTGCCTTAGTTTGCTCACGCTGATTTAAAGCAGGGGCTCTCTAATGAAATGCTTGCTCTGTTTCCCGTTTTGCAGATGACGAGTCACCACACCTTTTAATATTCAGGATTTGT